GTGTCGCGGTGCCCCGCTGTGCCGGGGAGCGGGGTCCCTGCCTGCTCCTGCCGGGCTGTACCCCGGGCGCTACGTGTTTCGGGCGCCTCGTGCTGCTGTCGCGCTGGTCCCCGGCACAGCCGGGATGAGGGGCATCCTCTTCTGCAACCGCATCGTTTCCCCCCAAAAACCAGCCTGGAGGAAGCGGCAAGAGGTCTCGGAGGCGTGAAGGGGAGTGTGGCCTTTCTTGTGTTTGGGAACCCCTTTTTCTCCCCTTTCATGCTGCGCAGCCTTCCCCGGGCAGAGGTGGGGAGGTGCCAGCCTGCGGCTGCCTGCACGAGGGACGCGCTGCAACTTCCCCTTTCGATGAGTTTTTTTCCCCAGGAGACCATTTCTTTACCCTGCCTGACTAGGGGCGTATCAACAGATCTGTTGGCTTTTAATTTCGTCTTTTTGTGTCGGTGGCCACTGGCAGGCTCCCGGCTCGGCCCCTCCGAGGGGCTCGTTGGCTCTTTCGGAGCGTGAGCGGGGTGACGGGGGCTCCCGGGGGCGGGAGGATCCTCAGGTTCGGTGTCAGTTTTGTGCTGCGTACATCTGGGCGCCAGACAGCCGTGCCCGGGTGGTGAAGTGCTTTTAGCAAAATAGGACAAAAGCCGAGTGCTCAGTGGAACTGGGAGGACTGGTCCAGCCGAGCTGACCGCTGCCTGCTGTGAGAGGAGAAGGAGCAGAAGTTTTCAGAGCAACGTGAACTCGTGATGTCCATAACCGAGTCAGCTCCTGTAGGAGGTGTGATGAATAGCGTGTCGGAAGTGCAGGTGTTCCCTCGGCAGTGAGATCGCCTGATGGCTTCATCCCGAAACCTGTGTGTGGCCCTTGGGGGCCGAGCGAGGACTCGCCTCCCCGTCCTCGCTTGCCGCCGGCAGCGGGTTGTGTTGGTGTGGCAGAGCTGCAGCGAGCCCGTCCCGGTGCAGCGGCTGCTTCTCCCGACGCTTGTGGGCTCTCGCCCGGACCCAACGCACCGAGAGCGGAGCGTTGGTGGCACCGTGTCTGTGTGCCGCGGGGAGCAGCACGCGTTTGGGTGGGAAAGCCTTAGTCCGGAATTGCGTTAAGCTGGAAGAAGAGCAAGCGGAGGCACCTCTGGCATGCGGCTGCTGCGCTCTGCGGCGGCCCCGGCGGCGGTGCCCCGTGTGT